GTTTTACGTCTTGCAAACACTACCCAAAGTTAAACTCCATCGTCTTACAAATGAAATAGTGCACAAAATAAAAAAAAGCTTTACCACCTCATTAACTGTATTATATAACAAACACAGTTCTGACTCAAACCAGTATTGTTAGCATTAGTAACGTTTTTAATTACTATATTTTGTAATATATATCCCACCTTCTATCATTGCTTAAAGTACTAATAGTTATTAGATATTTGTAACTGTGTACTTACAAATATATGTATGACGATAGTTCAACTTTAACTATGAAATCGACTTTAGTTACACTTAGTTGTTAAGTAGAATGTGTTTTGAAATAATTGGGGTTATAATGTAAGATACTTGTTACTGTGTTCATTATAAGCAGGGATATAGTACTTACGTATATTAAGAAGTGAGAAACAATGGAGTGTTACGTTTGAAATATATTTAATTCCAGTTTGTTGGTAGATTCTATCAACATTCCCGGTTCGCTAACTTTTAAATAAAGGACCAACTGATATGTGGAATGGAAATACAAAATGTTCTTACTGTTTTTTGTTTAAGCGCAAATCTGCACAATGGGCAGTGACCACCACAGGAATCGATTTCCGAATTTTAGCGTTACAAGCCCTCTATTTGAGGTTATGTGTTGATTTTTACATTTAATTCCAATGCTTTTATCTAATTCAGGTATTATTTTGACATATACTTAAAAAAACCGTTAAATGATTATTACAGCTATGCCTTGTAAATACACCCTGGCGGTACAAAATACAACTAGAAAGAAATAAGAAAATGTCAAATATTGAACTAATACTTTTATTTAAAACATTTATATTTTTCTAGTACGATTCTGTGGAGCTTGTAACATCATGGCAGTAGCTTTCTTGATTGTTACGGTTATCGTCAACTCCGTTGGACGAAGACATGGAACGCCACCTACACAGATCGTCCGTTTGTTCAGAGGAGCCTTAAGTAAACCATTGTGTCTTCATGTGTTTTCCAGAGAAGACTTCTCTTCGGAAAGAAAAAATTATGCCGAATCGAGCGACGCAACCAATGAGATGGTGGATGATAAGTTCCAGCCTCATCTACGCGAAGACTGGTTGTTATTGGCTGACGGACTTGATCGTATATTTTTCTGGTTGTTTAGTTTAGTGTACGTAATCATATTAGCCGCAACTCTTGCAGCTTGAGTACAGCCTTGCTGTGCGTCGACATCACGTAGTTTAGACATGTAGTTTTTGTTGTAACGAACAATTATCTTGGGAGTAAAGTTATATCAGTTAATTGTAGAATTTTGAAAGCGAAAACTAACAGGATAGTTTTCACAATAAAATATTTATTCAACTTTTATTTATACTTGATTGAAATACTTTTTAGAATCAGTCCACAAATGTTTTGTCTTATAGTTTTAACTTCCAAACTAAGAAACAGCTTTCTGTAGAGGTGCTATCTTCAGCTACCTCTAGCAGTTATTTTTAAGACGTTGGAAAAACACATGAGCTCAATAAAACAATTTTACACAAAACTATGATACCAAAAACCGGAACGCTTTCGAAAGGAGTAATTTTTTCCTTCAAGGGCAAACTGGAGAAGAAAGATTCGCTTTTAGAAATTCTCTTGTTAACCTTTCTCGTGTAATAATAACAAGTAACGTATCAGTTGTATTTCGTGTAATTACACTGTATGTTACTGTATCGGCACCAGTCTAACAAACAGTGTTCATTAATATTCTAAGATGCTACGACTTGCTTTAGTGTCAAGTTATCCAAAGTTTGTTTTGGAAAGTATATAGAAAAACCACACACACACAAAATGCTGATAACCTTTGATCTCCGCCACCAAAGGTAGACAGAGGTTATGTTTTCACCCTTGTGTGTGTGTGTGTGTGTGTGTGTGGTTGTCAGCAAGATTTCTCAAAAATGGTTAAATGGACTTGGACGAAAGGTGGTATACATTTGGACTATGACCCAACTTAGAAGGGATTATTTTTTTGAAGAGCCAGGGTCAAAGGTCAAGGTCACGGCAGTAAAATAAAAAAAAAAAACATGATGACCGATTTTTCACATTACTTTTGTTCTTTAGCTCAGTCAAAAGTGATCGGATTTTGATGAAACTTCGTGGACATATGTATAATATTATTCCTCATTGTTCTGCGAAAAATGGTCCGTTAATAACGACGGACACACGGACACATGTTCCTTTTTTTTTGAGAGCAGAATATGATCAACGCTGCCTGGAGGTGGTATGCTTGTTTGTTTGTTTGTTATGGATTTCGAGGGCTATCTGCGCTAGCCGTCCCTAATTTAGCAGTGTAAGACTAGAGGGAAGGCAGCTAGCCATCACCACCCACCGCCAACTCTTGGGCTACTCTTTTACCAACGAATAGTGGGATTGACCGTCACATTATAACGCCCCCACGGCTGAAAGGGCGAGGTGGTATGCTTGTTTGTTTGTTTGTTATGGATTTCGAGGGCTATCTGCGCTAGCCGTCCTTAATTTAGCAGTGTAAGACTAGAGGGAAGGCAGCTAGCCATCACCACCCACCGCCAACTCTTGGGAATAGTGGGATTAACCGTCACATTATAACGCCCCCACGGCTGAAAGGGCGAGGTGGTATGCGCTCTTCTGTGTTCTCCTTCAGTTCAGGATAAAATTAGTTTGTAATTATTAATCTAGCTGTTAGGTAATTAGTACACACAGTTTCGTTAACGAATACTTATATAACTAGATGTACTTCTGCAGGGTCCCTGAAAGTGTTTTGTTTCAGGAGTAAATAAAACTAAAGATAAGAGTAAGAAATATTTCCACTTCTTGCTTTTGAAGTTCGTATGTCATGCATAATTCTTCTCGTGAGTCATGGCATGCATAATTCTTCTCGTGAGTCATGG